AGGATTCCTGAGATTGCCTTCTTCCCCTTTGGGGTGGAGTAATGATAGACTATCAAAACGAGGTTGGATTTAGGATAGGGAGTATCCAGGGTCTCTCCTACTCACCTCTGGGGTGGGGTAATGAAGGACCCTGACAATCAGGTTGCATTTAGGAGGATAGGGCGTCTTGGGCCTCTCTAATGAAAGAGTCTGGGAATGAGGCTGAGAAAGGTTGGCCTAATTTTTTTTTAACCCTTTAAGCCCCAATATCCACATACAAATTCTTCAAACAGATCTCTGTACATCTCCTTAAAGAGGTAGTTGAGAGAATTTGATAAAAAATCAAAGCATTTTCTCTTTAGTGATCATTTCATTAATTCCCATAACCTTATATCTCTTGACAAGGTATGGATATTGTTGGGAAAAAATTGATGTTGCTCACCATGGGGCTTTAAGAGGTAATGGACTGGTGCTTAAATTTTTAATAAAATTATACAGGCAATGAAAGTTGTCAATAAAGGGGAGACAGATTTTCATAAACAGCTACAGATTAAGTTCACAAATTCTCAATAATGTACATGTAATGAGCCCATTAACATAGTCAACTTGACGACACATTGCTCATTATATACTCAAGCTTCAGGGGAGAACATTAGCCTCAATGTCATTCCCAGGGTTCTCTCCTACCTGTCCCTACAGAGCGAGACGGGTAGGAGAGAGAACCTGGGAACGAGGTTGCATTAGCCCCCGGGGGGATACTTAAGGAATTTCTGGGTGGGGATGTGCAACTGGGACCCTGGAATCCTTAACCTATACCAGAGCTAGTTCAACTGAATTTTGCAACCCTATACTAGAGTAAACTCCCCAAATCCCCCCTATCCTAGAGTAGCTGTCTCCCTAGTCTAGATAAAATCTTCAACCAACCGATCAGTTTCCTGAAGAATGATACCCTATTGTAGACCCAAATGCTCTGATTTATATACCCTATCCTAGAGTAAACTGCTTGAAAACCATACCCTTCACAGCGGCACATACCTATATAGCCCTTATATGGCAGTACCCCCTCAGTACCCCCCTTCCCCCGGGCATTAGCCCTGCTTGACATACTTTACCCTATAAAGAAATGAATCAAGGCACAAGCAGTGTACTATAATTTTTTCTGGCAATTGTGATTATTCAAATCACAGGAGAAAGCATTAACTAGAAAAATATGATAACAAATGCAAGGGGCAAACAACTGCATTTTAGGAAAGACTGCACTTGCCTGCTTTTATGATGCAGTGGGTAAAAGTAAATCATTACATCCATATTGTTGGGAACTGGATGCTGTGAGCAGGTTTTCCAGACTTTTTTCTTTGCTTCCTTATGTTCTTTTCTGTTTTTGAGTATCAAATCTGTTTGGATTTATAATAAAAAGTTAATGTTGCATCAGAACATTATTAAATCATTGAAATGAATTAAAACACCATGATTTCTCTAGAAGCTAGAAGATAAAAAAAAACACTTTTTAGTAACACAGGCTTTTCTCATTCTAGACTGCTAGGCGACTAGATGTGCAACCTTAATTAAAGCAATATCATAGAAAAGCAAGAATGCGGGTAACAGTTCAGAAAGGGCCATTATTATTTATTCAAAATATTTCTTTGTTTCTGATTGGCTAAAATCATACACATAATTCATCATAACGAGCTACTGTTGACCAAATTTGGAGGAATTTTGACATGTTGAACGAATGACTTCAAAATTCCAGAAAAGTTGCAGATTATTGATCTGTTAACCAAGAAAACCTGGGGACCTGAGTTTGAGTTGTTTGCAAAGGGAGTAGTGTCAAAACATTTTACTCATTTCACAGCAGACTATTATTTAAAAACATGGCAAGAAAAGCAAGAAGACAACTTGACAAACAAAATCTGCTATTTGGAGTATATTTGCAGCCCCGCACAGCCCTTGATCTCCAAAACTTCCTGATAAAGATGCATGCATTATCGGTATGAACTTAACATCGACCGGGGTAAGCATGTTTTAGCTTGTTTTTAAATTTAGGTGTTATCCACCTCGGCTAATAACACCGAACCCCTTGATCTACAGAATTCTTCGTATCCTACTCAGCCTTATTCATTCAATAATTGCTGTCATTAATGATGGCTAGTATAGAGAGAGCCAGCTGGAACAGCAGGCTTCAAGT